ACGACTGAGGTGCCCTTGAGCCACGCACCGAACCCCCAACTGCTCCCCGGGCGCCGCAGCAAAACAAATGGCTGCCCACTGCTCCGGGTGTGTGTTCACTGCTGTGTGTGTGCACTTTGGATGGGATAAATGCAGAGCACTAATTCCGAGTATGGGTCACCATACTTGGCCACATGTCACATGTCACGTCACAAGTGTTTACAGCATCAAGTATTATGGTGATGCTAAAAGGTTCCCATTGAATGTATCGTACAATTATCTCATGCCTAGTCTGTGTATCATAACATTGGTCTCCATAGCTATTAGGTCTCCTTGGTGAAGTTTGTAGAGACAAAGTGCACTTTCTTCTGCCCAGTGATGTCAATTCAAAGGTCTTTAAATGAACTCTTTTATTGAAAGGTTTATTGTTAAAAAAAACAAAAACAAACTGAAGATACTGATCTTACTTTGTCCTTGTTGGCTTGTAGCTGGTCTATAACCTTAAACCATGTTCTGTTAAGTAATACAATAAGAGAAAATGGGTCAAAACAATTCAAGAAATCATTTACGATAAAATATATCTACACATCATTCAAAATATGACTTACAAAACCAATGTTCCTTGTAGATTGTAGAGACTGTGAATAGATTAAAAACAAATTAGTGACTCAGGAAAGTACACTTCTACCATCAGCATGAAACCAGAATCAAATAAAAATCAACATGAACATTTTATGTAAACTAACACTAATGACATTAAAGTAGCTAATTAGTTAAAAGATGCATATTTACTACCATTCAAAAATTTGTGGTCAGTAAGATTTTTTGTTTTTGTCCAGAAAGAAATTAACTAGTGTACTGTAGTGTAGTGTACTAATTGTAGTATTATCTACATTTCATATTTGAAATAAATACACATATCATTCTTCCTTGTTCTCCTATTACAGTCAAGAATTTAAAGAACTGACTTCTATTCAGTGTGAATATGAATGGAACTCGCCACACCTAAACTATTTGGATTAAAATGAACTGAAATGAAATTCAAAAGTGTCACGCAAGAATTCCCTTGACACAACACAATGGACACAATGGACCTTGTAAATACAATGGAACAGAACTTGTTTTTTGTGTTGTTTGGCTCCATTTTGAAGATGCCAGGGTGCTTCCACAATGAATCAGCACACTAGAATGATTTCTGATGAATCGTTTGACACTGAAGACTGAAGTAATGGCTCCATGAAAAAAAGGATGTCTTAGACATAATTTGAAAGCATTCTCTATTAAATTCTGAATTGCACACAGTCCAGCTTACTGTACATTGAAGTGGGCCGAAGTATCAAATGAGAAACACACACTAAGCCAATACCTGCCACCACTTAAAGATGTGGTCAGGGAGGACGCTGTTATTGAGAGAGAGCACTGGTGGGACATCTTTTCTGAAATGTTCAGCAAACAACTCGTCGTCACTCGCAGCCAAACAGCGCTCCATACAGGCACAGAGTTCTTCATGAAAGAGCCGCTCCACCACGCTATTGTTCACCAAATCTTTCAAATGTCCATAAGGAACTTTATGTATGGTCACAGTAAAGATGGTGGCACTTAACAAAACCAAGATGACCTTTACATATTTACATCAGCACATCTTGAATGCTGAGGGGCTTCTACAGTTCTACTCTCTGATGTTTAGACTGAGGTCGAGGTGATTCCAGGTGATTCCTCTAGCACCTTTCTGCACCTTATCATGAGATCAGATCAAGAGCCTGAGCAATAAATGGCAATAAAGACATTTATTTATAGGAATAAAGGGTTAGAGGAAGAGTAGTAAACTGACTTTTCATGCATGTTCTACATCAGCAGCACCATGCGTTGTTTACGTGCAGGAAAAGCACACGGATGAATGGAGGTGGGTTTGTAATGACATGAGGGTGAGTAATTAATGACAGAATTTTCATTTTTGGGTGAACTATCCCTTAAAGTCTAGAAGGGATACAGCTGCGGCTACTGGGCATGCGCACATCAATAGGCTATAGCATAATTTTTGTTACATTGTACATTTCGTAATGTTTTTGCAATATTGTAAGGGGTAGGTTTAGGGTTGGGATTGATGTAGATGTTAATAAAACACAATCTAATAGGTAGAAAATTAAATGTATTGTTCGTTTCCGGTAGTAGCTGTATCTGTTTAGCCGGTTCAAGCAAATTTGAAGACTTGACAAAATTAAAGTAGCCTACTTAAAAGTAGCTAATGATATACTACTGCCAAGAAGCTTTACATTGTATCACTATATTCTTTTTCTAAAATAAATCATAACGAACAAACATTATGTAGTGTATTCAGGGGGTTGATTTGTTTAAATTACATTTCAATTCACACGAATTTGTTATTTACGATTTACTGATGTTACAATAGAAAATGAGAAGGAACACAAAAACGACAAGAGTTCAACAAACTCATTGGCCCTGATATTAAAGGATTAGTTCACTTTCAAATTCAAATTTCCTGATAATTTACTCATCTTGGATGACATGGGGGTGAGTAATTTATCAGGAAATTTGAATTTGAAAGTGAACTAATCCTTTAAGTAACATAGCCTACCATTATAACGTGATTGTGCCATACTGCTCTTTAGAAAGCAGAACCGGTTTTGATTTTTGAAACCCAGAAAAACGTAGGCTACTGATAAATTACAAAATGCTTTGTGAACTTAATGTTCTAATTAATAATGATACTTTGAAAGAAATAAAGGTAATTACATTAACAAACAAACGATGAATTTATACTTTTTTCAGTCGAGGCTGAACCTAAGGTTTCATGATCACTGAGGTATCAGATAATTCATCCAATAACAACCCCGAACATCGTAAGCAACAGACATAAAAGAGGGACTAAATATCTCTAATAACTACACCTGAGAAATAAACAGTAAACGGTGACAAAAAGAAAACATTTACTCACATTTAGCGTTCAGCTTTGAATCCAGCGATGTGTGCTTGTCTGTGGATCTCGATCGTGAATATCAGGAGCACCTGGCTAGAGCAGATAATCTTGTTATACAAACAACTCGCTTCTCATTAAAATTATTGATATCCACGGTTTGGACAAACTGAGTATTTTGATTCTCATCATCATTGTTTTAAAATAATTGACAAATACAAGTGATAGGCTCAAAGACCGCAATTCAATGTAGTCTAGGCCTGTTTTAAGCGATTAAACATTTCTTCCCCATTTGGACTGTTTATTCTTACAGTGCCGCATAAGAATAAATACAATAATAAAGTATTCTCCTATTTTATTTTATCTGATGTAGTAAGACAACTTTTCAGTTTAACCAAAACCTTTAAGGTTATTCATAAAAAACAGATGCTTTAAACAATTTCTAAGTCAATATACTGATATGAAGAACCTAATGTACCTTTTTTTCATCTCGAAAGAATAACACAGTAACTGAAGACCCTTACAGAACCAAAAAAAAAAAAGTTTCATGATAAAAAACAACAACAAAAAAAATACTAATTTGCTGAACCTCTGAACCAACCAAAGAATTATTTTAGAAATGAGTCAATGTACATGAATGCTTAGTGTCTACGTGCATTGTTCTAAATGCCCATCCTTGTGCTTACCTGTAAAGGTTGATGCTACATTACAGAACTCACTATGCAGACATGTAGCCACCTACAAAAGCAGATTCAAAGACCTAATCAATTCTTGTCAGCACCGTTTCTCTAATATCTCTTTATGTTACATTTTTAAAATGCTTTATACCAAGAACCAGCAGCACTGGTTGGATTTATGTAGGAGATTTTATTTAATTTATTTTTATGTACTTTTTTTTTTTCTTTCCTATTGGTAACTGCATTTTGGCATTATCCGTGAAGGTATGAACAGGTAAAACCGGTACCACTAGTTGAGAGACGAACATGACAACCTATTTTCATTGAGGAGACAGACGCTTTCGGCACTCCGGTACTTTGATGATTCAGATGTCAAGAAATAAAGTCTAGTTAAAGCAGTCACATCCTTGTGATGATTTATAGACCTCAATAAATACGGACTTACTAGGAGATATATGAGGAACCTATCCTGACATTCTTATCATTTGGGTAAGTTTGATATTCTGGGGTAATTATTACATTGATTATTAGTAGTCAATTTGTAATTAAATTTAATCAGTGAAATCAATTTCTGAATCAATCTGAAACATTTGTAATATGGGCTACTAACAGACCGAATTTAACAACAGTTCTGGCAAACTGAGCAAGTCGGTCTGAGAATTAGTGTTAAACTTTACTGAAATTAACTCTTCTTTTGGTAAAACAATGTTTTAAATCTCTTTGTTTTTATTTCAACGTTATTTTATGTTTTCAATGTTTAATCGAATTGAAACAAGTGATAAAGGAACACTCTGACGCATTAATTATTCAATCATGACGAACAATGTATAAAATATTTATTTATCACACCAAAACAATAATATAGTTCAATTACAATGACACATCATTTTTACATTTAAGTACAACTAAAGCGGAGTCGAAGTTACATTGTATTTTTTCTATTGCTTTGAATTGAATTATGGATCGAAAATCGAGTTTAAAATTTGAGAACTCATACAATCAAGCAGAAATGACAAGAAATTGAGGCAAGTTATAACCTATACATAGCCTGATGTCGATATTTTTGCGGGGTGGTGGCTTCAGAACACAGAACTGTGTCTTTTGAAGATAAGAAATGATAAAGTATAACCATAAAACTGACGCGTTTTTCTGTCTTTCTAATACAATTGCATTTGTCCACCAGGGACACGACACGCAAAAGATGAACATCTTCAATAGACTGACGCCTCGCTACATCACCCTGCTTTTGAGCTTCATGACTATCTTTCTTTTGTTCACCCAAAACCCGATGAATAATACTGGAGACTCCTTTGATGACTCGGTCTTTGAAGCTTCATGCTCTGAATAATACTGGAGACTCCTTTGATGACTCGATCTTTGAAGCTTCATGCTCCTGTAAATCTTGCGTCATGGGCTTTATGGACGATGACTGGTTCATTTACCGATACGATCCCAGCATTCCACCTCTGCTGAACAGAAAAAACAGTGAGTTACGTCGAGACACCTACAGATGGTGGAGGGTAAGTCTTTGAATATTAAATGCTAAATATTCTGTCTTTAAGTAATCAAAGACTTCAGTGTCGAGTGTAGGCCTATGTAGAACTAGTTTATGTCTATATATACACCAGTGGTGGACGAAGTACACAAATCAAGTACTTGAGTAAAAGTACAGATCCGTATTATAAAATATTACTCCAGTAAAAGTAAAAGTATTCAGTTTTCAATTTTACTCGAGTGAAAGTACAAAAGTACTTGATTTTTTTATGTACTTAAGTAAAAAAGTACTGATAG